AGCGCGGAATACGCCAGCACGGACAGTGCACCTCACAGTCCAACCAGTAAGTCTGATCGGGGAAGGGATTGCGTGGTGATGGGTGACCGCTTTAAATTATAAGCGAATCGGTTTAAAAATGCCTTTAAAAGCTGTTCTTTCAAAAACAGAATTTTGCGAGGAAGCTGTTGTATGTATATAAAAATTCGAGCAGTTAAATCGATTCGCAAAAGAGACTTTTGTTCGTCGCATTATGTGTTGGACGGTTTTTTTATTAAATTTCTTTGCGACTAATAATTAGCCTAATATAGTGAAATAATTACAAGCAAGATGTTATGCGAATGTTGCGAGGTGTTTCGTGTACATAGATTGTATATAATAACCAAAATCAAAGCTTTTTAGTCACCCTATAGCTGGCAAGCCCTTCCTTGATCCTCATTATCTTCTAACGAAGCGCAACAAATCCAAATCCCTTCCTCAAGGCTTTTCTGGGATTTTTTCAGAGAAGATAGGCCTGCTCTCCAGGCTCTTTCGGCGGAGCACACGGAGGAAGGGCACACCGTTAATGGGCACTTTCAGTGCTCAGTATCCCCCCACTGAGTGGTTTAATCCGCGCGTTGTGCATTTGCACAGCGTTGCCACGCAGACAAGGGCCGCCAGCCCTTCGGTAAGTCGCATTCAAGTATTTCCTCCGACAAGAACTAGTGAAATAAAACTTCTTACATAGTACTTCTCTAACGCCGCAAGGCTAATTAACCGGTTCCCCCGGACAGTTAATGAAAAATCTTGAGGCAACATATTCTAGGCTATTAATAGCATCGATAATAATATTGGAAACATCGAAAAGTTCAAATAATTAAGTTAAAATGAAGGCGATAATTGCCAGAAGTAGATAATTTTCAAAATGTTAAAAAGGTCAAATCGATCGAATGAACTTGTTTCCAGATGATGGAAGGTCTCGACCAGTCGCAGGCCAGTTTTCAAGTGTGGGATGATTCGAGCTCGGTGCGATCAGCAACTCTGCCGAGGCGGCATCGGCGTCAAGCCAGCGGTGACTCCTCGAGCTTGTTGGCCAACTCGACGCCAAGGAGTTCTCGAAGGCATCGATCACCGTGTTCTACTCTACCGAGATCCAAATGTTCCAGCCTGAGCAGATGCACGTCCAGAGCATCCGTTTTACCGCCTAGCACTACTAACCAGGAAGTCTATCAAGTGCGCAATCAGGCGCAGAATGATAAAAATTCATCCAACTCGTCGCCCAGTAGAAGCGGCGGCAGCTCGGGTTCGGTTAGAATGATGAATGCGAGTTCAGCTAAGACGAATACATTGGGCAGGTCCAACACTAGGCAATCCAACTGTAGAAGACCAAGTCATGACTTTAGCAACGGCACTAAATCAGCTAATAGTTCTCCACAACACAAAGTAAATTTAATTTCATTATAAAATTTATAACAATATCTTTACATATATTTAAAAAAAAAGATTTATAAATGTTTCTATATCATTTATTTAAGAAAAATCTTAAATTTGTTGTAGTAAAATTTTATTCTTAAGATTGTATTCATATGATTAATCTTTGCATTGTTAATTTTTTATTTTCATTATGTGTGAATAATGAAAATTTTATTGTCTCAAGGTATTGCAAAAAACTTCATCGGGTCACTCGTCTCACTCTAGTGGCAAGTCAATGTCTAGCACAAAACTGACTTGCTCGCCATTGAAAACGGCCACGCTATCGACGAAATCGTCACCGCTCAAAGTCGTTCAGCAAGGTTCGCTGACTCCTCTGCAAGAGGCACAGAACTCGATAACTCTTCAGGTGTCCACTAATCTGAGTCCGTCGTCGCAGGAGCAACGGACGATACAGAATAGCGTGACGCTGGCTTCTAACACAACTAGCACGACGACCATTTCCGGCTCGCCTGGCACGAAGATCTATGTTCAACAAAACAACTCACCGATGAGGTCCGTGATCACTTTCGAGAACGGTACGGTAAAGACGAAGATTGCTGAGAAGGAAATAATTGATTGCAAGGAAAAGCAGGAGAGAGAACTGGTAGCTGAGAAAGCGTACAAGACTCGGGTGGACGAGGAAAAGCTTTTCAAGTCGAAGCTAGATGACGAGAAGCTGAACAAATGTTCGATCAAGGCCGAGCGTCCATCGTCACTCTATGCACCAAAGGAGCTCAAGACGAGTCTTCTATCAGAATCCGACAAGGAAAATAAGCCGAAGATCGAGGAGGAAGTGCCTAACAAGTTGAAATTGACGAACCGCCTGAACAATAGTCAGGCTCATCTGATGGATGGCTCTACCAACAACGTCGACAAGAATTCTTTAGTGCACGAAGCTGCTGCCTTGTCCACCACGAAGAACACTAACGACGCAATGAACAACTCACGTAAACTCAGCTTGTCGCTATCGAAGGACGCGCTGAGTTATCGTAATCTATTGCATCCTGGTTCGAAGAATAACATTGCCTCGAATCCACCGTCGCCCACGAAGTCGTACGACGGTTTCGGTGGCTCTTTCAACGATGTTTATATCGAAAATCTGGAGACAGTAAAGCAGCAACGGGCTCCGCAGGGTTCCGAGCCTAATCTGGAGAAGACTATGAGCCGAGGTTCTGATTTGCATTCTTATCCCAGTCTTAGTGACATGCAGGTTCAGTTTACCAGCTTGGCGGCGCAGAAAATTCTCAAAGGCTGTCCGATTAACAGCGTGGATACTCTGGTGGAAGTGAACATGGCTGCTGCCGATAAGCCTAACAATTGCGACGTCACTGTTCATACGGATTTCGGCCTCGTTTGAAATTTTATCGTTGATTAATGTTACAAATGAAGACAAAGAACTGCCGATCCTTGCACCTCACTTTGGCATATTCCATCCATGAAAAATAATGTGTCTCGAAGCGAACAATATCGAAGAATAAATGCCACTAACGCGCCTTGCTACGTTAGGATAGAGAGTTATTTTTTTTTAATAAAAAGACTATACAGCTTGCGTAAGAATGTTATACACGGAACACGCGTAACAGTTACCAGTAATCTGTCATTTATAGATATCTCTCTTCTGTTTCTTAACAAGCGTCCACGTTTTCGAATAATCGCTGTGCCAATCGAATTTGTATTATTGCAACAAATATTGTTATAAGAAAAATCATATCAATCTAAAATGCAATCCAGTTTTTAACTTTGCTTGTCTTAATAAAAACTGTTTTTTAAAGTGTTATTTTTAAATAATTTGTTCTAAATAATTTTTAGATAATTATCCATACACATATATACATTCTTTCTTTTTCTCTCTGATATATTACTGAATTTTACAAATATTGAATTTTTAAAATTAAATTATCATATATAATTTTTATAATTAAATAATATGCAAAAGATATATTTAATGAAAAGTATAATGATTAAAGACGCAGATTTTTTTCAATTCATTATTAAGACAAGTGGTTATCATTCATTCCGCATTTTATAACTTCAAAAATCGCAAAGATAATGCAAGATGGGTTTAGATTTTGGAAACTTGAATATACATATATATTTTATTAATTCTTTTCAAATTTCGAAGTATACGCACTACTTCAAGAGATATGCTTGGTAGTTTTGCATCGCTTTACTCTAGTTAAAGCGATTTGTCAAAGCAATATCTTATATATAACAGTTATACGCGACTTACTAAATGAAGAAATTCTTTCACGAAGAAATGAAAATTTTTCCGAATTAAAACACTGCCATTTTATATATATATATATTGAAGACATATTTAATATTAATTATTTTACTTGCAATTTAGCGATAAAATCAATTTCAACAGGTTGTGATAGTAAAAAATCTGCAAATGGTACAGCGAAATTTTATATATAGCGAGATTCTCGATAAAACAATAATTTTTTCGAACAACAATATTGCAAATAAAGCGGGGAACAACGCCTTTTATTAGCCGTGCATTATTGGGCGCGTTATTAAGCGCAAGTAATTAATAGATTAATCGAAATGCCGTCCCCAAGAGATCTGTAATACAGCAAGGAAAAAAACCACGAGGGTTGTAACTCTCGCTATGATAACGCACAGCGAAGATTTGATATATCACAAGTATACATATATTATACATAGTGTAGAAAAAGGGCGTTTCCTCTTGAAACGCAGCCGGTACCATTCGCAATTAGTGCAATCGTAAATCTATAAGTGCCAAAACTTATTGTAGTACTTAATAAAACAACCGCCTTAATTAATTCTCACGGCGATTTTGCGGCATCCGTCGACGATTTTGTAAAGACGCAAATAAATCGCGAGAAGAAAGAAAGTAATGAAAAGCGTAAACCGTAGTGTTAAATATGGTAGGCAATTAAATAAGTATGGGAGATAAAAGAAAAAGAGGAAAAAGAGACACGTGTCTGCTTTGTACATTTCATATTCCGTATCGCAAATTAACCGATCGGTGATGGATTCAGAATTATCGTCCACTCTATTTTAACTATGAAGACGTCGACTTTCTATTTTTATAATTTCTCAAGCCCTTGAATTGTTTATTCTTATATAAATACTTAATATTATAATTTATCAATTAAGGATTAATTAATTTGTTGCAATTTATTTATTAAAAAATTGTTATTCATAATATTTCAGTTGATTGATTCATTCAGTTAATTATATATATAAATAAAATATAATACATATACATATATAAATAATTTTTTTAATATAATTTTAATATAAATGGATACAAAGAAATTAATTTAAAATTGAAATAATTTCACAGAAATAGAAAATATTAAAGTTATAAAATGTATAATTTATTCTCAAAGATAAGAAAGTCTTATTTTTGTCAAAAAGTCGGCGTTTACGAATAGAGGAACGGTTTTCGAATCTTCGCCTCTTATTTCTTATCAAAACTAACTTGTAGAAGATCATTGTATAATCTTACGACTCATTATAACAACGAAAAAAAATATATATATGAATAATAAAGAATAAACGAAGGCATTTATTATTTTATTGTTAATGCATAGACTCACCATTTTGAAATTTAGCGTCGTTTAGTTGCACTCGTTACTTCACGTTCGGCACTTATCAGATGCCCGTCGCCTCGAGAAGCTTCCTAAAATTCAGGAAATTCAGATTCTGAAAATTAACAAAATACATATTACAGATTGTAAAGAATTAATTCCTTTAACGTAAAAACACAGTACATTCAAATTACCTTCGATTACTTTTAGATATTAATCAATAAACTCAGGAGTTTTTTTCCATTTGTATCGCGCACGCAAAATCACACACACTACTAAAAACAAAAGATGACATTCAAACTGTAACTGTAAAAAAATGGCGGCTTCGAAAGGCACGTTCTCATAAAACATAAAAATTTCCTAGCGAATAGCCAATGAAATCGCTCATCAGAGTTGACGGTTGGACAATCCCAGAATATCCCTATGTTTTTACCGTTATATTTACAAGTCTTTGCGTTGGCACTCCTGGAGGCTTCGTTAACTAGCGAAGAGTGTAAAAAGATGTGGAAGATGGATGCAGTTAAATTTTGACAATTTTGTAAGTGTCAAGCAAAACTATCAATGAATATTCGTTGTAAGAGATCGTTTTATTAACGATTTCTCACGATAGTATACTTGTGATTTTTGACATTTTTAGTGAAAAAATCCCGATAATACGCTGCTTTGTGGACTTGTTGCAATTGACCGCACGTTTTTCCCTCAGATATGAATTTTGTTGTTAGACGCATTAAAACGTAGGGAGCACCGAAATGATGCACAGAAGGGGTGGTAAGCGGATCCGGATGGACGATCCGGTGCCGCCGGAGTACGAGACGCCGATGACGCCTATGACTCCGATGAATGACAATTCCGGCGGAGACGCAAATGACTCTTACAATGCTTACACACCATATCAGGCGTCTCAGACGCCGCTGCACAATCCCACGTAAGCATCTAGTTTTGGAGTCACCCCTATAAAAACAATGTAATCCTATTGAGCATGTAATATACTGTTGTACATTTGTAGTCCAGAACATTATTCTTCCGAGAGCTACAGTTCACCAGGCACATCTCAACAGCAGTATCAGGAGCAGGGCAATTTTGATAATCAGACGCAGTTTGAAGCTCCTATGACACCTGCCGCTTCCAACATGAGGATCACAAGAAACACACGTGCCAGGATGCGTGGTGCATATGAATATATTTTTATATATAAGATATAAAATATTATGTCGAATGAAAAATTATAATGTTTGACTTTAAAGGAGGTGTGGTGCAACAACCCAAGTACAAAGAGATTGATACAGATTATACTCCATCGTCCAGCAGCAGAGGAAGAGGTGGGGGACGAGGACGTGGCAAAAGGGCACATCATTCGCACAGTTTGGAAGATGAAGCTAGTCTTTACTATGTTATTAGGAATAATCGATCTTCACTTACTGTAAGTGAATTAATTGTTTAATATAAAATGTAAGTGTTGTTAATTGTTTAATATAAAATGTAAGTGAATTAATTGATTAATATAAAATCAATTGCAAGAGAATGTTCATATATTTTAACTTTTTATAATACACAAATATTGTTGCAGACCATTGTTGATGACTGGATAGAAAAATACAAGAGTAACAGGGAAAATGCGTTGCTTATGCTCATGCAATTTTTCATCAATGCAAGTGGTTGCAAAGGCCGTATCACTTCCGAGATGCAACTGACTATGGAACATGTAGCAATTATTCGCAAAATGACTGAAGAGTTTGATGAAGTATGTTTACTAAATCATAATATATGATATATTATAATATTTTGATTGCATTTGATTGTATTTTTTTTGCAGGAAAGTGGTGAATATCCATTGATAATGACTGGACAACAATGGAAGAAATTTCGTGCAAATTTCTGTGAATTTGTTCAAATTCTTGTTCGTCAATGTCAATATTCTATCATCTATGATCAGTTTCTAATGGATAATGTTATCTCTTTGCTAACTGGACTCTCAGATTCCCAAGTGAGAGCATTTAGACATACTGCAACTCTTGCAGGTAAATCTCAAACAATTATATACTTATAAATTACATTTTGTAAACAGAATATACATTAACAGAACAATTTAATTTGTAGCCATGAAATTAATGACAGCTCTAGTAGATGTTGCTTTGACTGTATCTATAAATTTGGACAATACACAGCGTCAATACGAAGCGGAAAGACAAAAGGCCCGAGAAAAAAGAGCAGCGGACAGATTAGAATCCTTGATGGCGAAACGAAAAGAGTTGGAAGAAAATATGGACGAAATAAAAAATATGCTTACATATATGTTCAAGTCTGTTTTCGTTCATAGATATAGGGATACTTTGCCAGAAATACGCGCGATTTGTATGGCGGAAATCGGAGTCTGGATGAAGAAGTTTCATCAAAATTTCTTAGATGATTCATATTTGAAATATATTGGTACGATAAATTTTTATTACTTTACATATATTAAAATAAAAAAAAATATGTATATATATTTATTTTTTTTTTTTTTTTCATATTTGATATAATTTTCAGGTTGGACTTTGCATGATAAAGTCGGAGAAGTTAGACTCAAATGTCTGCAAGCATTGCAACCGCTATACGCTTCGGAGGAACTAAAAACGAAACTTGAATTGTTCACAAGCAAGTTTAAAGATAGAATTGTCGCGATGACATTGGATAAAGAGTACGATGTAGCGGTACAGGCTGTGAAGTTGGTTATCTCCATTTTAAAGCATCACAGGGAAATTCTCACTGATAAAGACTGTGAACATGTGTACGAACTTGTTTATTCGTCGCATCGCGCGGTTGCACAAGCAGCCGGGGAATTTCTGAACGAACGTTTATTCCGCCCGGAAAATGAAGCCGTGGTGGATGTTAAGACTCGACGCGGCAAGAAACGATTACCAAATACGCCTTTTATACGTGATCTTGTTCTATTCTTCATCGAATCCGAATTGCATGAGCATGGAGCATACTTAGTTGACTCCCTGATCGAAACTAATCAAATGATGAAAGATTGGGAGTGTATGACAGATCTCTTGCTGGAGGAGGCGGGTCCTGATGAAGAAGCATTGGATAATCAGAAGGAAACGTCCCTTATCGAATTAATGGTATGCTGTATAAAACAAGCTGCTACGGGCGAAGCACCCGTCGGTCGCGGACCCACTCGAAAAATTCTATCAGTGAAAGAAATTAAACAAGTTCACGATGATAAGCAAAAACTAACGGAACATTTTATTCAAACACTACCACTGTTACTTGACAAGTACAGAGCTGATCCTGAAAAATTGGCAAACTTGCTGGCAATCCCACAATATTTTGATTTGGATATTTATACAAAATCTAGACAGGAGATAAACTTGGATTCTTTATTAAGTAAAATCCAAGCGATTGTTGAAAAAATGCACGATAACGACGTTTTAGATACGGCGGCTAAAACTTTAGAACATATGTGTGTAGAAGGTCATGCTATTTTCACAAGGTATATACATATATATTTTTATTTTTTTCTCATAAATTAGACATGATATTTATATTAAAAAAACATTAATTTATTTTCATGATGTAGATGTAATGTCGCTCGTTCTACTTTGATTGATTCCATCGTAAATAAATATAAAGAGGCGATCGATGAGTATAGAAATTTGATTGAAGGCGATGAGGAGCCAGATGAAGATGAAATATTTAATGTTGTTCAATCGCTCAAAAAAGTTTCTATATTTTATTCTTGCCACAATATGAATCCATGGGGCATATGGGACTCGCTATACAAAGACATAGAGGATGCAAAGGATCCTGCAAAGTACTTTTTTCATAATTATACTATTTTATTCTATATAAAATTATATATATTAATTCAAAACGATCAATATAAATCAAATTGTCCGTACAGGAGTTTACCATCAACTGCAGTTAAATACTGTATAAGCGCATGCTTCTTTGCCATTTTATGGGGCCAAAATCATTTGATGGAAGCTGTAGATTCAGGCAGTCACGGTGAGGACGAATGTCGGCAATTGAAGGAACGATTGCATTCGTTTATGGGTTCAATGCGCCATTTTGTCAACAGCGATACGGTAATTATATTTCTTTCTAATTCAAGAAAATGATTAATGTCTCTAATAAATAAAATATTTACAAATTTAATATTAAATAGCCTTCACCGCCGATCTTGAGGGAAGACGCGTATAATACTATATGTGACTTATTAGTAATATTCTGCAATCAACTCTCTACGCATACTAATCCTCTGATGCATCAATTAGTATATGAACCTGATCAAGCAATGCAAAACATGCTCAATAGATTTATACAAGAGTACGTCTTCTTTGAAGAGGAAGATGGTAAGTAAATATTCTAATATGTACATTAAATAAATTTTTATTGGTTTATAATTTATATAATATAATGAATTTCTTTCATAGACGAACATGATGAACATTCTAAAATCGAGGAACTGCATAAAAGAAGAAATTTCTTAGCCGGCTACTGCAAATTAATTGTCTATAATATGATTCCCACAAAGGCTGCGGCTGATGTATTTAAACATTACGTTAAATATTATAATGACTATGGCGATATTATTAAAACCACATTAGGCAAAGCAAGAGACATCAATAAAACAAATTGCGCGTTGACAATGCAACAAAGCTTAAATATTTTGTACAACGAAATAGTGGCTGAGAAAGGCAAAGTGAACAGAAATAGTGAAGAATTCACCGCAATTAAGGTATGTAATTATTATTATACAATTTTATATACAATGAAACAAAATGTATTAAAATCTGAGTAATCTTTTAATTATTTCTAGGAACTTGCGAAGCGATTTGCCTTGTCCTTCGGCTTGGATGCAGTGAAAAATCGCGAAGCCATTACCGCCTTGCATCGTGCGGGTGTGTTGTTCGCCATTACTCCACCAGACGGTATCGAACAGGATCCTACAGGTCCACCACCGAATTTGCCATTCCTCGAGATATTATCAGAATTCACGAATAAGCTTCTTAAATTGGATAAACGTGTTGTGTAAGTATTTATTAATTGAAATTGAATGTGTAATACTTTTTTTAAATATTTCTTCATATTTATTATGATGTTATTGCAGACTCAATTTTCTGGATAGACGATTACAAGCTGGAATGCCATCTTCACGAGGAGAAGATTGGCAGCCTTTACTATTATACAGAAATAGTTTACTACATGGCGAAACTGATCAAGTTCCAGTGACCAGTAAACGAGCTTACACGAGGCGCAAGAAGGATCACTTGGCTGGTAAGAGATGGTTTCACTATGATTATCTTGATGGAAAATATTCTTAATATATAAATGTTTGAATGCAATTGTTTATTTTTCAGAATTAAATAAAGAAATGATTAATTGGCAAATTTATTATAATTTTAAAACTATATAAATGTATATTAATTTTTTTTATTTTTTTCTTATGAAACTAAAATTATTTTGATAAACGTTATAGATTCAGTTTTTAACTCAAATATTAATAATATGAAAATAAATAATTAATAACTATAGAAGCATGTGAATACATTTATAATTAAAAATTTATTAAAATTTAAGTATTAATTTCATCAAACTCATTTACCATTTAAATGATTTTATTTCTTTTGCAGAGGAAGAGGAAGCTGATGAACCTGATGAAGGTTCTGATCATGAGTTTGCAGGGTGAGTTAGGTGTACCCGAATAGAATATGATATATAATTATTTTATTCTGTCAAATTTATCATTAGTACAAATTCAACTGTAATTGCAAGTAACTGTTACATATAACTCGATAACACAAAGAAAAATCAGCAATGACTGATACTTAATTGCGTTCGATTATCATCGCATTATAAAAACTAAATGCTTGTCTTTACTTGCTTTTGCAATGTGTGTAAACTATGCTACATAGATAATACGTACCATTTGTAAAACTAGAAACGCAGATACAGTTTCTGCACATATGAATGTGTTTCTTCTCTTACTATTGCTATGAGATGTTAATGTTGCTTGCAAAATGTAGATCTGTAGAAGTAGAATGGTAGTAGTTTTATACTAATAATTTTTTCATTTTACTGCCATTTTTCAGTAATGCTTTATTAATACTTTTCATTACTTATGATTTATTTATGATATAATTTTAATATTAAGATATATTATGATACTGTAAAATGAATTTATGGAAAAATTAACTAGGATCTAACTCAATAAGTTGAGTATGTGGTTAAACTTAATTAATCACTTTGATGTGCATTAAAATACGATTAAATTATTGTAATTTTGCAGTTTTTGAATATTTAAAATTTAAGTAACACTACATATATGATTAAATACTATAATTTACATCTCTTCTTTTAAGAAAGATACTTGCGATTTCACTTCTTGCAGTAAAACTGCATGCATGTGCTTAATTTATAAATATCACTTTTTAAACATTTATATATACATATATAAATATAGTGCAGAAATTGTATCTGTGCTGTGTTTGCATGAGTAGTAATTTTAATCGCTTGTTACAAGTGATTCAATCATTATAAAAGTTAAAGAATATATTTTTAAAGAAATATCTTTCAAATGTATTTCTAAAAATGTATATGTAAGGGGCAAAAATTGTACAAGATATTCTTAATGTAATTTACTATACTTGGTGCCTCTTTTTTAATAACAAATCAATTCAAACTAGAATAAGAAATTATTAAGGGATATATAATGTTGAATCATATTTTTGAAACAAATGAAAAAGATCGTGCATAGAGAACGATGTGTGTATATTATCGAGTGATTAATCTCAAATAAGCTTAAAACTTTGTATTCTCTTTATATATTAATAATATAAATTGGTGATAGATATGAATAAATACATGGGATTACTTGAAATAAGACCTTCTACTCCTAGCGTTCCTTTAAATCCTATTTTATCAGAATTAAAAATTATCAATTATCAGAAAAGCGCGATACACAAACTTTTTTATCTCAATCATAAATATATTATAAAAAATATAAGAAGATTAATGATTTTGTTTTTCATATTTCCTAAAATTAATAATGCCAACATTTTCCTTTCCATGACACGCCGTTCTCTATACCCATCACTCTTCACAGTAATGTGTATATCGTTATTCAACTTTACACTTGATATTATTATATCGATTTTAACATTTTATTCTCTAAAGAATAATATAATAATTTAAAAGGTATAGGTGCATATATGGATAAATTTGAATACCGGCTTGTGCAAATTGATTATACATATATATATGTAATAATCTTTTAAGACATTTTTGTCCCTTTCTCTTTAATCAGATCATAAATTTCTATAGCAATAATTGTACTCTCACCTGAAAATGGACGTTTTCACATTTCAGCAAGCAAAAAAAAAAGCGTTCGCGGAAGAATCAGTGAGTAATTTATTTTATTTAATATTATTTTGTAAATTATATATATAAAAAATAGCAATATATAATATATACTAATTAAAATATTGATTATGTTTAAATGCACGTAATAAATATTAATATAATTTTATTTCAGATTGCCAGTTAATAAAGTAGTGATAACACGTGGACCTAGAACAAACACTTTTTATGAGAATAATGACACTGTACAAATGCAAACATCTCCTTCTGCAATCGTAGAGGATACAGCGACGAGTCCTTTGCAAGATCTCGATAGCAGATTTAAAGCATTGCAAACACAATCGTCACGACCGTAAGTATAGAAAGAACAAGTTCATTCTATTATATATTATCTATTGTAAAATTATACAATAAATAAAACATAATTTTGTATAGACGAAGAAATCAAGAGCATGTGGAGCATAGGGAGTTGCGAAGAACTTCTAGGAACTCGGGCAGATATGTCGAGGGGCAATATATGGTAAATAATTTATGTAATATTGCAATTTTAAACTGTCGTAAATTACATTATGTGTGTTATGTTAATTATATATAAATTTAAAATAACATTGTTACAGGAATCTGATTCTGAGTAAGAAAACATAGTCCATAAAAGCTTTACTTCTTAAATTTAGACAACTGGATTGTGATATGTGTTCAGTTATGTCATTTGAGAGAATTATAAAGACATACTTAACTATATGGATGACATAGAAAAGCTTTCAAAAAGCGAATATTACATTATTATGCGATATATAAACAAAATTTAATTTTTCTGTCAGATTGAATTTATTTTACTATACGTTATATATAAATGTATTTCAAAATGAATACATTATTATATAATAACATATGATTATATATAAACAAAATTTAGTTTTCCTGTCAAATTGAATTTATTTTATTATACGTTACATAAATGTATTTAAAAGTGAATACATTTTTATATAATAGCATATGATCATATATGATTAACAAAATTTAGTTTTTCTGTCAGATTGAATTTATTATATGTTACATATAAATGTATTTCAAAGTAAATATTAATGTTATTATCTATAAGAAAAATGTTTTAACATGTCAAATTTGTGACTTTTGTGAAATTAACTTTTTCATTATATATTCATTATGTTACAAATAATATAGTATATGGAATTATATATAATATTTAATTATATATTATATATATTATATATATATATATATATATATATATATATATATATATTCCAATATACAATGTATATGTATGCCATAAAAGCGTTTTTGAATTTAGACAAATGTATTGTGATATGTATTCATAAAACATGGCACAGAAAAGTTTCCAGAGAGCAGATATTGACAAATTATTATAATATATTATAATAGAGATCAGCGTTATTATATACAGGGTGTTTCATAAGTGGTGGGCAAAATTTTAGAAATGGATTTCTTATGCTTAGAGAAGAAAAAAAAGTTATTCAATATAGGTCCGCAAATGATTAGTTTTTAAGTTATTAAGATTTTGGACAATTAGAGGAAATGTTCAATATGTCCACCTCCTGTCACAATACAAGCCTCAGCTCGTCGTCTCATTGAGTCCCGACTTGAAAAACATTGTTGATGCCTGTAAAAGGACTTCTAAGACGAGAAAATTTTGTATTACAAAAATCTTAATAACTCAAAAACTAATCATTTCCGGACCTATGTTGATTAATTTTCTTTTCTTCTCTAAGCATGAGAAATCCATTTATAAAATTTTGCCCACCACTTATGAAACCCTGTATAAATGAAATTTTTCAATTTTCTATGAGTTTGGGTTTATTTCATTACATATTAGGCAAAAATAACATGCAATATATGTATTTCATTCTTATGTAAAAATGATTGCTTTAAAACAATTTTTTAAATCTTTTTATTTTAACTATTTAGTAATTTTATTTCTACATAAATGAATATAAGGGGCGGCGTATGGCTGAGATCGACAAGGTACTTGCCTGCCCCAATCCCCCTCCTATTCCTTTCTCCTTCCTTATCCAGTAAAACATTTTAACAATTATATGTTTGACAATTGTAAAAGAGACGGATTCGACAAATCAGAAATAATCCCATTATAAAAAGTTCTTGAACCTTTTTTCACATAGATTAAATGGAAAAATTTTAACTAATTTTTTTCTATATAGTTTACAATGTTTTGTACGTTCAAATAAATTTATAAAATGTTAATTATTTGTGCGCCACATGCTATTTATTAAATGTTATTTATACAATTATTACACGTTATATAGAAGATTAAAATAATTTTGTTCACCATCTAACATAGAATGACATTTAGTATTATAAGAAAGAATAAGAGAATAGTTGCAGAGTAAAATTATAATAAATATCATAACAGTAAAAATAAATTTACAGTAAAGTAAAATTATAATATATGAGTCCTTATTTTTTCTATACATCTATAATATACATATTAAAATACTCTGGACGACTAATTATGAAGGAATTCCGGTCTTATGTTTTAACTTATTCTTTGTACATAATTCGTATGATCATCTATGTATATCTTTGCTCATATATTCGGCATTTTAATCAGTCCTATGGTAATCGAGATTTACGAAAAAGATTACTGAGTCTGCGTTTGGGCGTGCTAGATACATTCTGTTAAAAAATACATTTAACAATATAAACTTATTGTTATTAATTATTTAACTTATTATTTATATTTCTTTGTACTCACTTCATCTTGTCGTTTGGAGAATATGTTTTTCAATGAATGAGGAGTGGTTGTCGTTCTTTTATCTATATTTCGTTCTCTCAGTATACGTGAACTTGGGCTTCTTAATTCGTTACCCTGTCGCAAATTATTAAAAGAGTTTTCAATAATAATTTTAGTTATACAAGAGATGAGATTGTAATGAAAATATAAAAAAATTTTAGAAATTTCTTTTATTGGATTCTTGAATGCACAATATGGAAGATAACGACAATATATATATGGAAATATGTACCTGCAATGATAACTTTCCTCCATTTTTACTTGGAGTTGGAGGACCAGGTTTTTTGTACGATATCTATGACGAGCAAAAAAATAATTACAAAGATTGAACAAGGGATGTTATCTAACATGATGGAATTTTAATAACACACTTGATATTTACCTGAGATTTATCTCTTTTTCTTGCTTTTTGTTCGGGAAGAAGACTTTGGCTAAGACTATCGTTAAAATTATCTTCTACTGGAGAACCCATCTATAAGAAAAGCAAAAATATATGTATATATAATGGAGAACATGTAAAACATTAAAGTGGAAATTAACAAAACATTCAATATATAGATATGATAAAGATGTAGCATAATTACACATTAAGAAGCAATTTACTTTAATCTCTTCTTCAGTCAAAGTTGAAGGAAGAAATTGCATTTCTGCTGGATAAGATGATTTTAAATGAGGCTTGCAGAGAGAGTTTCTCATTTGTAATACAGATAAACGATTCACATTTGTAGTAGGTAAACAGTTGTCTCTCTTTATATCAGCTGAAAAAAATTGATTTAGATATCATGAAAAAGTAAATTTAAATTTAACTGATATATTTACATTTGTAATATGTATGTAAATCATACCTAGATAAACATTATCAAAAATTTCTTCCTCATCTTCCGTTTTAAATACATTTCCCATTGCTTGCATGCTTCTAAGACTATGCCTTCTTTCAAATGTTTCTTCTGTTATTAGTGTTGTTACTTTTTGTGATGTAGTTGTTTTTACATTTTCAGGTGATACCTCTTGTTTCTCTATTCTGCAATAGATTAGAATTAATCATTGTTAGAATTTTTTATAAAAAATATATTTTAATAAATATATTTTAATAAAATATTCTAATTTGAATGCATACTTGCAAGTTTTGCGCGAAATTGTAGTTATTGGTTGGTTTGCTTCAACTTCCTTCAGTTTGGTTTTTAATTTTTCCACACGTTGTAATGCATCTTGCTTCTGTTGTTGTTCAATTAAGAGTTTTTCTCCCACATTCCAAAGTTGCGAGCTCAATTCGCCAACGTGTGTTTTGTATCTATTGAGTTCTTCTCTTTGTTTCTGACACATCATCTTCATTTGAATCTGTAATTTTTCTTGTATGATCTGTTCATTATCATTCTTCAACTTCATTATTTGCTCATTGTAGGCTATTTTCTAAAATAAATTTAACATTAGTACTGTAAACATGTATTATAATTTTTGTGAAAAATTTCACAGATATAGATATATGGATATAATTGTATTTACCATGTTTTGTTTCATATCTTCCAATTTCTGTTCGTATGTAGCATGAACTTCTTTTTTTATTTGATTTTCAAATTCTTGCTTTGCAATTTTGCTTGATGCGTCCTTTTCTTCACATAACTGTTGATTTCGTTCTTTCAAACATCTCAATTCATCCTTCAGAGATTGTATTTCTGCCAAGTTAACTTCCATTGACGCTGATTTTAGCTTTTTTATCTCCATTCTAAGATCGTCGATATTCTTCTCTAATTTCACATTTCTTAAACGCGTAGCATCTACTTTGTTTTTTAGATCCCTTTTTTCGTTTGTCAGTTGATTAATTTGATTTTGTAGTTTCTTTTCTACTTCCGCTTGATTTTTGATTTCGCCAGATTTTAAACTATTTTCATAAAAAGTGGCCAAAGCTGTGAAAGAGTCTATTTCTTCATCATATTTCAATACATTGGTTTGCAATGTTTGATGCTTTTCCATCTCTTTATCAATTATCATTTTCTCATCGGCAAATAGATCTTCTTTTACACTTGTCAATGCATCGAGACATTCCTTTTCATGTATTGAACATAAGTAAGTATCATGTAATTGTTGCTCTGTCCATAAAAATTTCTTCCATAAAATATCGAATACAGATTTAATGTTTTCTAAATAGGCGATTTGATATTTCGACAATGTATTTTCGAGACTTGTCTTTTTAAATTGCAATTGTTTGAATTCGTCGCAAATAGAGTTCTCGATATGAAAAATATGTTGAAACTTTGTCAATATTTCAGTCCACTTTTGCTTGGATGATGTTAAAACAATATATAAATCGTTTTGTGAAACAATCATTTTTTGCAAAAAATCGTTTAAAGATTCCTTATTTTTTATAAGATTTTTAATATAACTATTTCGTTTCTGCGCAATTATTTCCAATTCTCGTACTTTATTTTTTAAACTGTGAACTTCTTCTTTGTCTTTTACATTGTTTTCTATAAGTATTTTTTGCTCTGTTAAAGTTATATTTAATTCAGCATTTGTGGACGATAAATGCGAGATAACTTTCTGCGATTTATATAATTCACTAAGAGTCATCTTAATAATATTCGAGATATTTACAATTTTATGATCTGTATATGTGTATTTATTCTGAGGTGCATGATATAACTGCTGATCGAGAAAATCAAAATCCGAGCATGTTTCCATAATTGTAGAATTCAAATTTTTGGTTGGATGTTCCAATTCTTGACACAGTTTTACAATTTCTACTTGACTTGCATCTATTTGCTTGTAAAGTTCCCTATTTGTTTCAAGCTCTGTATTCATTTCTCTTAGCGTCTCTTGCAATTTTGTTGTAGTCTTGTTTTGATCGTTAATCTGATTTTCTAGAGTTAATAATTTGATTTGATATTCGCACAATGATAATTTTGCATTTTCGAGTTCTTTATTTAACATTTCCTTGGAGTTATCAAACTGCTCCTGAAGTTCTTCTATATAAAGAGACTTTTCTTTCAGAGCTGTTTCCTGAGTTGCTAAAACAGCATCCTGACTAGATCTTACTTCTTGAAGATTAATAATTATTTCTTTCATTTTCTTTTCCATGGCATTTGTTTCATTTGTTAGCTTCACCATTTTGATTTGGGACATCAGTAATGCTTCTTCTTTCATTTCTATCTCTTTATTCTTTGTTTTAAGCATTTCTTCATGTGAGTGCATCAAATTTTCCTTTTCTGTTTTTAAAGAGGAGATATCAAAAAGTAATTCATGAATTTGTGCTTCTTTCAATTTCATTTGTGTGATTGTATCATTCATTTCTTGTTGTAATAAACTGAACTTATCGGTAGCATTTGTAAACTCGAATGATATTTTAGCATTTTCTGATTTCAGACTTTCCAAATTGTCATTTGCTTCAATTTCCATTGTTTTATATCGTTCTTCTAATGCTTGATTTTTTCTTTTTAAGTCTTGCACAGTTTGTTTAGATTCATTTAATTCGTTACAGAGAATTCTTCTCTTTTCTTCCAAATTACTTATTGTTTTTTTACTTTCTAATAAATTTTGTTCCAATCTTGAATTCACTATTTGAATATTTGATAATTCATCCTTATTGCGATTGAGATTATATTCTAACTTCTCTTTTTCTTCTTGTGTTTTGTTAAAGTTGTATTGCATTTCCTGATAGTTATATTGTAATTTTTTAAAGTTTAATTCAACGTTTTCTTGATATTCAGTAAAACTTTGTCGAGTTTCTTTTTTTATTAATTTTAAATTTTTCTTCACATTCTGAAAAATGTCTTTTAACTGTGTCGTAAGAGAATTTAATTGTAGTTCTCGATTGATTAAATTATTTCTTAGCTCATGTAGATTTAATTCCAACACAAGTTTCTCATCTTTAATTTTTTTTAAAACTTCAATTTCCTGCGAATACTTATAAATAATTTCTTTCTGTTCATTTAACAATATATCTTTTTGCTTATTGTTTTCCTCAATATTAGCTAATTCTATAAGATTTTGTTTTTCTTTTTCTTCCAAAGTTGTAATAATTAGTTGTTGTTTAGACAAATTTGTATTTAATTCATCTATTGTCGATTTTAATTTTTCAATATCATATTTATATGAAACACACGTTGTATTGCAATTATATAACAGTGTATCAATGTACTTTATAAGATCATTAAGAGTCAAGTTATCTAAATTGTTAGTTTCAACTTGCATAACTTGATTATTAGAATGTAAAATATCTTTTAAACTTTTATTGCAGTTTTCAATAGAAGATTTAAACAAGTCTCTTTCATCAATAAGTTTATGAATATGTGCAAGATGTTGTGTTACCTCTGATTTTATTTTTATTAAATCAGTGTTTAAAATTGAAGAATTGGTCTTTTCTTCTTCAAGCAATTTGTTCAAATTCGTCATGTTTGTTTTTAAATTAATCAATTCTGTATTTAATGCAATATTTGACTGTTCCATTTTAGACAATTCTGTTTCTTTAGATAAAAGTGAGCTTTTTAAATCTTCATTTTGTGCAATGAGAGATGTTTTCTCTGTTTGCAAATTCACAATATCTGTATTTGATATTTCTAATTCTTTTTGTACATTATTTAATTCTACTTGTATTTGATCCAATGTTTCCACTTTTTTCTGTAAATCTCTATTTGATTCCATTATAGTTTTATAATCTTTTGTAAGAGTACTTAATTTTCCATTTAAAATATCATTCTGGGCCTGCAATATAGCACATTCTTCTTTAGCTTCTTGAAGTTGTATGTCAACTACAGAACTTAGAGCTTCACTGGTATTGAATGATATTCTTAAAGGAAGTGCTAAATCTTCAACTTCAAAACTTTGTTCTGCACCAAAATTTTTGTCCAATTCTTTGATGCGTGTGCGCAATTCTTCATTTTGTATTCTAAGTTCTACCAATTCTCTGTCCTTTACTTCAATTTTCTTTGATAAGGATTTTATAGATTGCTCATGATTTGTAAATTCCTCCATGTAACATTTATGTGTTCTTTTCATATAAGATAATTCTTTCGATAGAGTATCTTTATCTGTTTCTATTTTAGTAATTTCATCTTGCTGTTTGTCTAATTGGCTTTCCAAATCATTAATGTACTGTTTATAATAATTCTCTTCTGAATCATCTTCCTTTTCCTGTGAAGGTTGAGGTGTACTTGATCTCATTCTTTCTTCTCGTAATACCTTTACTTGCATTGATTTTTCCTTAAGTTGGTCCTGTAACTTCTGTATTTTGTTATTCTGAATCATTATTTCATTGCGTAAGTTTGCATTAGCAGATTCTTCTTCTTCTAAACTACATTTTAAACTTCTCAATTCTCGCATTCGATCGGTCATAATTTTTTTGCTACGTGTAGAACAAGTGATAGGAGAAAATTTTCCAACAGGTGTTCTACTATTTGCGATTGTTATATCTTTAATCTCCATAATAATTTCTTTTATAGTTTCTTTGGTAATCTCTCTTTCCAAAGGTAGAACACTTTCTATAAAGGTTTTAATTTTAATTTGTGATTCATGTTTCAAATTATTACACATATTGTACTGTAGAGAATAACCTAATGCAGATAGCTTTCGACATGCATGTATCAATAATAAAGATGCAATATATAAATGTTCTGTGCTATCATCTTTGTTGATTTTAAAACTGGGATATTCAGCTGTAAAAATTGATATAAAAAATATTATTTTCTAAAATTATAAATAGTTATATCTATGTTTGTTGCTAATTTTCCAATTTATGAAATTTTTAACTATAGAAATATAAAATCATACACTTAGAAAATTAAGCAATGTAAAAAATATAAAATATATACAAATATATATATGTTTACCTTCTAAAAATTTGATAATAATATCTTCTTGAATGTTTTCACAGCTTTTCCAGTTTCTATAACACAATAAATTAAATGATAAATTACATATAAATTATATTCATATGTATTGTAACATTGAATTACGTACTTACATTAATTTTAAGAAATTGACATAGAACTCTCCATTTCCTAATTCTGTTATATTTTTTATTGGCTCTTTTTGTACTTGTAAACAATCAATCTGTAAAATTAAATTTAATTAAAATAAATAAAATAAAATTTAATTTAATATAAATATTTAGTCAAAGGGTTATTTTTAAAGAATGCTTCAAATTCTAGATAAAATTGTGAAGCATCTTAATTTACAACAACATAAATGTTAATAAATAATAAACACAAAAAAGTTATAGATAGGTAGGTAGATAAATAGATACTATCCAACAGGAAATAAAAAAATTATAATTTGCTTAATTTAATAATTTAAAAAGTTGCGAAAATGGAAGTAAAAGATACGGAAAATTGATCGAATAATAGAAATTAATAAAAGTTTTTGCAGCAAGATTTCATACATAATGAAGATGATATATTATGCGTTAATCATAATTTATCAAGCACATGATATACTCGAAATAATTACCCATTCTATGATAATTTTTTCCCACATCTCCATATTTATCGTGTACTATCTCGTACGCTTACAAAAATTTTAAAATACGCATAGTACGTAAAGATTCCCTTATCATACTTTGGACATAAAGTTCGTTTGATTTCGAACAACGGATCGCAGTCTAGACAATTGGATCAATATAATGTTTCTAGATTGGACCAACTGAGTAATCGTAATTCACTAACATTGTGATCTGTGACCAATCATTTTCTGTTACTATTTTCGAAAAGTGCAAATATATAAGTGCAAATGATTAGAATTGTTCCGTCAAGATTTATATAAGTGCAAATGATTAGAATTGTTTGTCAACATTTTTATTTCTAAAAAAATATTGTATTTATCACTTCAGTTTGACAATTTTTGATCGATGCATGATATAATTAATTTCATCAATCAATCAGCTGTGTTTCAAATGAAAGAAGCTACGTGTTATAGGGAATTAAATTTTGGAAGTGACACCATTGACAATATCGTGAAGTGTGCATTTTTTCCGGGCGAGGGAGATCGGTGTTTTGCGGAAGTTTATGGCGGAACTCAACCGGCAAGCGAGAATTTGCGTGACGAGAATTGAGAAGGAAATATTCGGCGATCGTTGTGGCTGCAAATCCCATGTGATCCGCCGTTTTTTTTTTCGCGCGGAAATAGCAGCGTTATGGGCCTAATTTCGGATCCGCTTCTATTCGCGGTTGCGTTGATCGACACGGGCTCCGTTTTGTTTCTCCTCGTGTATTATGTATCCTTTAAATCACTATATATCAATGTAAATCATTTGATATAAATCTCTCATGTTCCATTAAATTAAAGACATGACGCAAAACAGTCGGCTTAATATGCGGATAAAAAATTTTTTTTTTATTGAGGTTATTTTCTTATTGGCAGCCATGCAGTGGCGTCGTTTTTAAATTTCTTTCAGGAGAAGATCGAAAACAAATAATTTATTTAATTTAATCAATCAGTTGTCATTGATGTGTTGTTATTTTTCTTGATCAAAGATATGCAGATCATAACATTGTCAGATCTCGAATGTGATTACTTGAATGCGCAAGAATGTTGTTCAAAATTGAATATGGTAATATGTAATAATATATCTTATTACTTACATGTATATATAAAGTGTATTATAAATAATTTATCCTCAATTTTGTTACAGGGAGTGTTGCCAAAATTAATATCACATACATTTTTGGTATTTCTCTTGTTGATACACGGACAATTAATATTAACACTGGTAAACATACCAATGACGGTATGGTTGTTTTATGAATATTTTGGTGTTCCCAGTGGTAATATGGGCGTTTATGATCCTACAGAGATTCACAATCGTAGCCAATTGAAAAGATACACGCGCGATTGTATGATACATCTTGGATATTGCCTCGTATTCTTTTTTATTTATCTTTATTGGTAGGTATATTACACAAGTATATAAATTTTTTTTAATGTAGCAAGAGAATGAAGATCAAAAGAAAAGATTTATATTTTCTTCATTCTTTAGCATGATTGTGGCATTGCTCAAAGGAGATCCCATCAATAGAAGCGACGAGACTATAATAGATTTATAAAAAGATTAAGGCGTCATATAAAGAATCCTTTTTATGTCTTGTTTGTTTTTCTTTCTTTTTTTTTTAATAGGAATCTATATAAGAATATTTTAATTCTATTATATGTTTGCACACATACACACAGCACATACTTCATATTCTCTACACTAACAATAAGTTAGCGATTTTCCTTTTTTTTAATCATATTCATTGTTTGACTATCTTGGGGAACATATATTGTTCTATAATTGTTGTAATTTATGGTTCTTATTTATTTCCAGCTAGAAATAGATAACTTGAAAATAAATATTTTTTATTTTGTCTATTCTAATACTTTTGATATTTCCTCTAATTTGAAGGCCTTACATTGTTATACTAATGAAGTAAATGGGAACTATATAAGTATCAAATAAATACCAAATATATCATTGTATCCATCACACTACTGCTTGCATATGTAACTTACATAAATAATTGTAAGTTTCTAGTCGTAAAAACGTAAGCAGAAGTCTGTGTTATAACAGATTGTGTTTATAAGAATAACAATATATAATTGTAATATTTTAATATTTAATTGTTCCATTCATATGTAATATCTTCGAGAAAACGTGACTCGCAAAAATGCTCTTCGTGGATGAAAGCTCCTTTTCGAGGAATTTATTTATTAAAAAGCTCACTTTTCACTTCCTCTCACTCCGAATGCGGCAATCTAAGAGCAATATTTTTCAGGATAAACGAGCCGCGACCCGATTTCTTGATCGCCTCCTATCACGCGGCTCTTCTTATCAAATCATTTAAATGAACCCCGAGTCAGCGAGATAAGAGATGCTATTGTATAAGAGAGTAGACAAGGAGAACACGCAACGTCGTCGTCGCCTCTGCTCTATTTCGCGTGTTTGCCGTGTCAAGTTGACTTAAGTTTAACGGCAGTCAAATGAGATTGGATCGATTTAATGGGCGCGGTGAAGGTGATTAGTCCACCCTTCCTCATCGTGGAAGGGCGCGTGTTTATTTTTAGATCAAATTCAATGCACAGCCGTACAAGTGTGTGTATGTGTGTGTATGCGTGCGCATGATACGTCTGTTTGTGTATGTGTCCGCGGATTTTTTATCTCTATGTATTTCCACGAAAGATCCAGCACTCTCTCGTTGGCGAGCGGTGAACCGGACTCTCGAGAGCCCATTTAATTTTCGTCGTCGCTGTTGCGTCGTCGCGCAAATTACCCGGAACTAATGCAAAATCGATGCTTATACGCGGCGGGATCTCTCGGAATTTGCGGAACAGAGAACCGCAAATCAATCGCCGTGTGTAACGCGCTGGCAATACTGTGAGATAATATCGAGAGGGGGTTGCGCAACCCTCCAGTGCCGTTAACTCTCGACGCTGTTCGCGCCCTCGTTAACGCTCCAGCTGTCTTCCTCTCTGTCTCTCCTTCTTTCTCTCTCTCTCTCCCTCTCTCTCTTCCTTTCTCGCATACTTTCTATGTAGTCGTTCATGTACCCATTCTCCGGCGATTGACGCAGTCGCTTTCCACGCGGAAAAGTGATACTGCAACACAACAATCGCGCATTTTTCGAAGTTGAAGGCACGAAAAATTTTCTCGCGAGGAGATACGAAAAAAAGTGAAGAAAAAGATTTTCCCTTTTGCGAGAGAGATATACTCGAAGAGTTTCCTATATCTGCAACATAGGTAAGATTACGTATTATACGATCTAAGAATAAACGCAGCATCTCTTGATTTAAATTACGATATCGTCATTTAAAGCCGAGATTATTGAATTCTCCTGGTCGAGGAAAATGAATAGCTCGCAATCTTTAATCGCGTAATTCAGAATGATGAATCATCGGCTTCATCTATAGACAAGATCCGTCGAGGAAATTTCCTTTCCGTCTGTACGATTCGAGTTGCGCGTTGTCATTCCGAGATGACAAGCTGAAAGAAAAATTGTATTTTTTTCATCTGTAAATACGATAGGTGAGAAGAAAGGGAAGAGATAAGGAATCACGCTCGTGCCTCGGGCGGGAGATGAAGGTGCCTCGAGACAAGTCGGAAGATTCGAGCGCGAGAGGCGGGCGCGCGCCTTCGTAGAGCGCCTCCTGGTGTTGACGGTGCGGACGGCGCGGTGCGTGCGCTCGGTGTCGGTGCTTGTCTTCGGCGCGCGGCGCGACGCAGAAGTCGCAGGAGGATGCTGCTGTTGACGCTGGTTCGGAGGGAGCAGCCAGGCTGGACGAGCAACAACGACGAAGCGCGAGCGAGCGGCTGAGAGAGGAGATCGGAGCAGTCGCCGTCATCTTTCTCGCGTGGCGAGTCCTGCGCGCGCGCGCACGCGATTAAGGACACCCGATTCGTGCTCCGGACAATCGGCGCGCTTCTCCTGGGCGGTGAATGAGATGCCTTCGCGGGCGATCCTCGCGCTGTCGCGACCCGGTTGAATGTGACTGAGACCGACCAGCGGCTTCGACGTTCGCCTTCGTGATCCTCGAGGACACGTCGAGCGTACGTCCTTAAGATATATATAACCGCGAGGTGTATCCAGAGCGCGACGACGACGACGACGGTGACAGTCGCCCAGGTACCAGCAACGGCGACTGAGACACGGTGATCCAGGTGTTCCTAAATGCTTGAAACCTCGATGAAGCTTATGTCGTCGACGTCGGAATCGTCACCGTCGGAGTCGTCGTCGTGGTTGCTATCGTCGCCGCCACCGTCGGAGTCATCGTCGTCGTCGTCGTCGTCGTCGTCCTCGACGTCGTCATCATCGTCATCGTCATCGTCATCGTCATCGTCATCGTCATCATTATCATCATCATCATCATCATTGACATCGCTGTCGTCATCGTCATCCTCGTGGTCAACACCCGCAACGTGCTCCTTAACGTCGCTATTGCCGTTCACCACGTTATTCGTCGACATTTTGCCTTTACATTTATAAGAAAGAGTCAGTGCTGGACAGTGTGGATTTGTGATAACAAGGAAACAGGATGCAGCCGAGCAATAAGAATATAGTCAACACGATGTATACAAAAGCTGTGGAGGTGTCCCAGCAGCTGCAGGATGGAGAGAAGTTTGTCAAGTGGGATGAGGTTTGTGTATATATTTAATGTTATGACTAGTTGGTGGTTTTAATGTCGAGCACTAGTAAAAGTATAAATGTAAAAGGTCACTTTAGGCATAAAGGTGTCACCTCCGCCTTGCTTTATTTTAGTAAAACGAAAAAATAGAATTGGCCCACGATAATAGATTTCCAAGATAATAAAAATGTCATCATATGCCTCTCCTGAAATAACTGTTTAAATGTATTATTTCTCTCAAAGAAAAAACATTAATAAAGTATTTAAAAAAAAAAAGTACATATATACATAGAGTCATATGATAAAAATAAATCTTTCATAATATCAAATGTGCTGTGTAACCATAGGATTCTGGAATTGCAACGCCGGTGACTTTGAAAGTGGATAAATATGGTTTTTACTTACACTGGGTGGATCAAAATAATGAAATGGATATGCTGGACATAGCAATTATAAGAGATACGCGAACAGGAAAATATGCAAAAATACCAAAGGTATTAATTTCATATATATTTCTTTCAACATTTTATATTATATATATCTTAATATATTTTACCAAGATATTCATAAGCTATTAACTTATTTGTACATCAGTGCAGTAGAACAAGTACTCAAAGATGAATAATCAAAGAGTGTCTCTTGGTTTTTCCATAATTATAACAATGACGCACAGACAGTATCATCACATAATAATTATTGACTAATTTATAAATAGAACATTACCTACTTTACGTACCATACATAGTTTGCTTTTTTTATCACACCTACTATCCGCACTAATGGTAGATAAAGGCAGTTCCGTATTCATTGAAATAATAGCATACTTTGTTAGATCAGTTTTCCTATAAATCAATAAACAGAACTTTGAATGAACTGACATACTTCTGCATGCAGCATTGTAATGTTTAGCTCATTATATGAAACTTTTTACTTGTATTCAGTGCGACATTCAATATTATATTATATTTATTTATAGTTCTTAAATTTTAGAGTGAGAGGATAAGAACATGTATATATTGTAAATTAAATTAAAAATTCTATAGGACTCAAAATTGCAATCCTTTGTAACAATGGGTTCTCAAGATTCCTTGGAAGACAAAACTGTAACAATCTGTTATGGCTCTGACTTTGTCAATGTGAATTTTATTAATTTTTGCACAACACGTGCAGAAATAGCGCAACATTGGACAGAACAGCTTTTTCAACTGGCATACAATTTGATTCAACTAAACACTAGCACAACTATGTTTTTACTCAAAGCGCACACCAAATTGACACTTACTGTTGATAAATTGGAAAAAATACCAGTAAAGAAGTAAGTAAAATATTGTAATGTAATTCTAATATTATTTATAAGAGAAAAATTATTATCTTTATATTTGAACTTCTTTGCAGTATAATAAAAATGTTTACTCAAAACAAAGAGGATCGCAAGCGTGTTGAAAAAGCACTCGATATTTCTGGTTTTCCATCTGGCAAAGTGAGTTTTGTTCTCATTATTATAAATATTATTTTTTGAAAGAGGCTTTGCTTCTAAATACTTTGTTACATATCATTTGTTATATATCATTTATGATAATTTTGTCTTTTTAGAGCGACGTTGTGCCATTGTCAAAATTTCAATTCGAAGATTTCTTCAACTTTTACAAGTCTCTCACTCAGAGATCAGATGTAGAAAAAGTATTTGAAGGGATTGTTGGCAGTAGCAAACGCAGATTGATGTCCGTTTCGCAATTCGTGGATTTTTTGAACAAGACGCAAAGAGATCCACGTCTCAATGAGATACTATATCCATATGCAAATGAGGCGAGGGCAAAGGATATCATAAATCAGTATGAACCCAACAAATGTAATGCAAATAAAGGCCAACTCAGTTTTGATGGTTTCCTGAGGTACCTCATGAGTGAGGACAATCCGATTGTTGCCATCTCTAAATTTGAATTGTCCGACGATATGGATCAATCGCTTGCGCATTATTTCATAAATTCTAGTCACAACACATACTTGACGGGTATATATGAATATTTTTATAATTATTTCTAATATGTAGCATTTATATAATTTAAATAATTGCAACAAATACAATTTTCTCTGTTTAGGGCATCAACTCACTGGAAAGAGCTCTGTAGAAATTTATCGTCAATGTCTTTTAGCCGGTTGCCGATGCGTCGAATTAGACTTTTGGAATGGCAAGGTCGACGAACCTGTTATCGTTCACGGGTACGAATATTCATCATAATAATTTTCTATATACATATAAGAAAAGCATGAGTAATTTATAATTAAAGATAAAAACACACGCATATCTTTTTATAGATATACATTTGTACCTGAAATATGTGCCCGAGATGTAATAGAGGCAATTGCTGAGAGCGCTTTTAAAACTTCTGAATATCCGGTCGTTCTCAGTTTCGAAAACCATTGTAATCCAAGGCAGCAAGCCAAAATCGCACAGTACTGCAGAGAACTCTTCGGGGAAATGTTACTTGATGCACCACTCGAATCGCACAAGGTATTTTTAGATGTTATGCTTAATGGAGGCATTATTAATGATTATGTTCAAGAGAGAATTATGATTATAACAAATGTTTTTTTTTGTTCTTAGTTAGAGCCAGGTCAAGAGCTCCCACCGCCATCGTTATTAAAGCGCAAAATAATAATAAAAAATAAGAAAAAGCATCACCATCATCATAAAAAGCATCAGAAGAAGCAATCTACTGCATTATATACTGCTAAAGGTACCCCAGAGAATGAAACAAACGGAGCAGTAAATCCATCCGCTGCAGGAGAAAACGGCCCACCGCCAGATATAATACCTCAAAATGAAATGGCTGATGGTGTTGCACCTGGAAATGAACAGCAAATTGGGAATGGCGATATTCCTCATCCTCCCATGTTGCAACAAAGACAGGGTAGTAAAGATAGTGCTCAGGATGATGAAGGTTGGTAACAAAAAAAAATTAAAAGTTATAAGTATATCCATGAAAGGTATACATATTTAATATATTTGTTTTCTTAGACGACGAAGATGAATCAAGTTCAGACGAGGATGAATCTAATGTGGAACTGAGAATGGGTGACAAAGGATCTGCGCCAGATAAGGTCGCGGCCAAAGAGACGGAAGCGGGTGCAGAAATTTCTGCTTTAGTTAATTACGTGCAGCCTGTACACTTCAACAGTTTCGAATCGGCTGAAAGTACGTGATGTATCTTAACGAGAAGAATTTTAATGCATTCTCTTCGTATATTGCGAAGACGATAAATATTTTATATCATTTATATATCGCTTGTACAGAAAAGAATCGTATGTACGAAATGTCATCTTTCGACGAGAAACAAGCTACGACTCTCTTGAAGGAGAGACCACTAGAATTTGTAAATTACAACAAACACCAATTATCCAGAGTTTATCCAGCAGGAACGCGATTCGATTCTAGTAATTTCATGCCGCAAGTATTTTGGAATGCAGGCTGTCAGCTAGTGGCATTAAATTATCAAACGCTCGGTACATAAAAGTTTATTTAATATATTATTGATGTATTATTTTCTTTTTATTGTTAATGAATTTGATTAATTTAATTGATAACAGATCTGGCGATGCAATTAAATTTGGGGATATTTGAATACAATCAACGTTGCGGTTACCTGTTGAAACCAGAATTTATGAGAAGAAAAGATCGGCGATTAGATCCCTTTGCAGAATCTACCGTTGATGGTATTATTGCAGGCACCGTTCACATTCACGTGATATCCGCACAATTTTTAACAGATAAAAGAGTAGGCACTTATGTAGAAGTGGATATGTACGGTTTACCGGCAGATACCGTAAGAAAGAAATTCCGTACAAAAATCGTGCCGAATAACGGTATTAATCCCGTATATGATGAGGAACCATTTGTATTCAAAAAGGTGAAACGATATTTGCATATTCAAGTATTGCTAAGCAATCCGTTTTTATAATAACGTATCGTTTTTACATTCTTCAGGTAGTCTTGCCAGAACTTGCTTCGATAAGAATTGCCGCATATGAAGATTCCGGACGTTTAATCGGTCACAGGGTACTACCCGTAGTTGGATTATGTCCAGGATATAGACACGTTGCACTAAGAACTGAGTGCGGGCAACCATTACCATTAGCGAGTCTGTTTTTACATGTTATTGTAAAAGATTATGTTCCTGATGGTTTGAGTGAGCTTGCCGAAGCTTTAGCAAATCCTATCAAATATCAGAGCGAAGTGGAGAAGAGAGAGAATCAATTATTGGTTCTCACAGATTGTTTGGAAGCTCCGGAAGAAATTGAAGTACGTTTTAAAACAACGCTATGATTTACTATTCCCTCTTTTTCTCTCTCTCTCTTTCTTTCTTTCTTTTAATAACTAATAATTTAAATTCATTTTCAAGTTTATAACTAATACACTACATTATTTTATAGGATAAGAGTAAAATTAGCGATGCTCCTAGTTCTGCTAAGCCAGCTGTAAGTTTTCTATAAAATTCAACTATTCTGTAATGTGTCACTAACAATATTATTTTTGCAGGAGGAAGTTGTAAAGACTAAACGAATGCAGTCCATAGGTGAATTACCAAGTCTTCTACCTCCTTCCAGTTTACATAGTAGACCATCTATTGGTGGTTTAGGTAGTTCAGATACAGTGGATGTAGAAGACGATACTCCAAGTCCTGCAGTTCAAGCAGTTGATACATCCATAAATAAAAGTCCAGTCAATGCTAGCAATAGTGAGTGGTATTTTTGTATTCTTTTTAAATAATTGATTAAGTTGATTAGTTTTATATTTTTTTCTCTTGTGTACTATATTTTGACAATTTCTTTCTGTTATAGTAAGTGAAGAAATAATGGCCGAAAGTTTGGAGAAACTTATGGAAAATAAGCTAGTCAGAGAGAAGAAGATGGAACTCGAAAAGAAACTTGAATCTCTGAGGAAAAAGCATGAAAAAGAAAAAATGCGAATGCAGTCGCAAAAAGGCTCGCTTGATGGCGAGAAGCATAGATCGAAATTCTATAGCAATAAGTTGGTGAAGCGGCTATCGAGCAAAAATATGTAAGTATACAAGTATATGTAAATATACAACGAGGTGACATTGATTCTAAATTTCTATAATTTTCAATCACATTTTAGTAGCTTTTCGAGTGACGTGGGTTTAAGCACTTTAGCTATGGCTGAGTCTTCCGAATATCCAGAAAATACAGAAAATCGTGACGGAAATGACGGGGCGTCCAGAGGTTTGCCCAGAAGTCAAAGTGAACGATTTTTAGCCATATGTAAGGTGCACGTTCAACAAGAACGTGAACTTCAAGAAAAATATTACGAGAATCTCTTTACGACTGTCGAAAAAGTGATGAAATCATCGCAGTCGAATCAACTGAAAATGCTCCAAGTACTTTTAGAGAGAGAAACCGCCGATGCTAAACGAAAATTACAAGCTACAAGACAAGGCGAGGTATTTTTAATTAATATATCTTTTTTTGCACTGCACAAATATATAAAATAATGAAAGTTAATATTATATATCTTTTATTGCATTTAAGGTCAAACAATTGGCCAAAGTACACAAGGATAAAGCCGAGTTGGAACGCATAAAACGAGAAGTTGCAAAATCGACGGTAGAGAAAGCTGTGAATGAATGCACACGCTTAACGAAAATTTTCGACAAGAAAAAAACAGAATTGGAAAGGCAACATGAAGAAGTACGACAAAGGCTGGAAGAAGAGCGAGCTAAGGTTTGTATTTTAAATGTAACGAATATTCTTACTCGTACGATATCTTATGAAATTTTTTAATTTTAATGCGACAGGTAAAAGCTAATTTGCTAGCAGAGTATAGTAGCCGCTATAGTAAATATGAAAGTGGTGAATTACCCTTGTCACCATCTGGCGGAGCTAGCTTACCTGAGTCACTTAGCGAGAATACGTATTGACTCGCGAAACGAGTTGTCTAGCTATGTGTTGACTAAAGGTGTGACATCGTTTTATGATGTTTTACGTCATTATACGCGTCGTTTAAAGCATCCAGTTATGCAACTTGGTATATCGAACGTGCAGTTTCTAATGAGATATGTGGAAGAAAGAAAACGGATATTATATTTGAATGCAATATTTCTCCGACATTCATATAAGGAAATGAACCAATAATGACTAACAAAATGTTGGCATATAGTGCTTATCTATAGCTGTTCATGGTGATGACTCTTGCCATACTTTATTGGAGATGTCAATATGATGACGTCAAGAAATCACGTAATTTGAGGCAGCTTGGTGCTGTACAAAGCACGATAAGTAATTACTATACATACATACATATACATATATATGTATATGTACACACACAAACACACGTATATATACACACACACACACACACACACATACATACACTGAACTTTTACCATTTAATATTTTGAAGAGATTAAATGTCGAATAATGGATTGAAGTAATTTTCTAGTACTTCAATTGCTGTGTCTTTTACTACAATGGTCATTATTCGATTGACATGTTGATTGTACATGTTGATCAATTCTTTAATTGATCGTGTTTGGCTAGGACGTGGAAACTCTGTCATGATCTCTTTATCATAAAACGTCTGCTTATAGTAATACGAGAAAGAGACAATGTTAAACTTCAATATACATGACGAATATGAATTTCGCATTATTTGCGCACAGTATTAAGCAGTCTGAGAGATTCCAAAATCTAAGACGATCGCTGACGTGATACAGTCAGTTACATATTCATATGATCTTAACGAGCATTAAGACCGCGACAGAAAAATATATATATGTATATATATATATATACATATATATAATTCGAGAAGAAAGGGAAAAAGAATATACAACCTTCCTAAGTGCTAACATTTAATATTGTTGTTATATGCATAAGTCATCGTTATTTAATCAACTACATATAAATTAAGTCTAATCGCGTTCCAAGATGCTCCGTTTAGATTGATCTTCGACTATTAAGAAGTCAGATCTCAGGAGATTCCAGTCAGAATAACGCAAGAGGTAGATATACCGAGAGTGAAATCTCTTTGGCCTAGTAAAGAAAAATTTGACAAATTTGCACGAACGCGCGAGTGATCTGATATATTTTTGACTGAAAGTACTCCATATATAAACTTTTTTTTTGGGAGAGGGGATGCCCAAATACTGCGGCAAAAATCGTGATATTTTCCTGCCGAAGGCACGAGAATTACCCAGTATCTCGTTACAATAGGATCCGGAAAACTGGTTATTCTCTGCATATACATATTTTCAATATTCTATTATCGCGACATGATCATAAACATAAAAATAGACTCAGCATTGACTATGCATATATTTATGAAGAAGAGAAAATTATATGGATTATTTTTTTGTCTAGACAGATTGGATTCATAATTATTTTTTTATAGAAAATGCATAACTGAGTCTTTTTTTTTTTATAAACGGTGCTTCCATCTCGTAGAGTAATCTCGCGCATATTAACATCCAAATTGTTTCTCTTTTTTGTTCATTCAAACATCTATGGCGGATCACGTGACAGCGCGCGCAATCGCACTTGACCGAAAATCGTTTGACAGTACATTCGGCTACGTTCGCGCCAGTAAACGGCGTCTTTAGCAATTTCGCGCGCGACGGAATTAACATTTTTCTCTTTCTTTTTCACAAGTTTTCGATATCGCTAACCGGATTCTACTGTATGTAGACGGATTCTTCGTATCACGAGCAGTCCGGTCGGGCGAACCTCTTTGAGGAAGACAATCAAAAATGTTACGAGGTAACATTGTCCTTGTTGTTTCTAATTGTAACGATATTTTAGGCTACGCGCTACGATACATGTACACAGGTATCTATATGAGGGAGGATCATCTGTTAATTATAACGAATTTAGAATTAAAACTTATTGTATCGTAAGTCTGCATCGTGTAAATCCGATATTTATTTAATGGATTGATTATTTAATGAGAAGACAGGGGTACGCGAGGGGGAGGGGATGTATCGTAATTGTTAGGGAATGAATAGTCGCGTGAATATAAGGATGTTCTGAAACAAAAATGTGACATTTTATGGAAGATATATAATGTTATATTTACTTAAGTATATAACCTACTTATATATACGGTCGCACAATTATGTTGGAAGTTTGGTTATTTATATTTTGCATTCGAAGGATTGCATCTCTCTTGCTTCAATTTTTCGTGAATTTAATTATTGTTAAATATCTAACAAATTGGATAGGGAATTATAATTAATTATCTACTTGCACAAGTGTACTACACACAAGTGATTTCGTGGCATTTAGTGTTTTCGAAATTTAGCTGCTTTTCTTTACATGTTATGATTCGCGTTACATCCTTTTATTGTATGCACTTAACATTGAAAAAATTTTGCTTTGATCTCTGACCGATATTGTTTTACGATATTTATAGGAGTATACATATACAGTACATGGAAATTATAGTTACCTGTATACACTTGAACGCCAATCTCGACACGAATTATCTTTTGATATTATATTTTATATCAAGAATGTTTATAGAGTCACTCATTGGTTTGCAAGAGATATAATTTATTTTAATTATATATATTTATATTTATACATTAATTGTTTGTACTATTCACAATTTTGTGAAATTTAGATAATATCTATCTTAAGGTTTTTTTATTTATTATTTAAAATTACTTTTAAATAACAAATATAATGCTTTTACAAATTTAGTCAAAATTGTATATTTGTTATTATATAAATATTTATATAATAATTTATTATATTATAAATTATGTTTCGTATCTCGTGTCGGATGCAATAACAGTTTAATATCTTAATAAGTGTTACACGATAGAATCTCAAATTTATTATTATTCTTTTCTATCTCACCGATGCTTCTCTTGTATATTATTTTCTGTAAATAATTGAAGGCTGAAGGAACAAATTGAGAAAACTGCGATTATCGTACGAGCACCTAACAAGCAGAGAAAAGCAATTAAAGCATTTGCATTTATTATTACAGACAATAGTGCGCATCCCTTAAAAGAATGATGGGTCCTGAAGTTATATCCCGTGCACCTCCCTCTGATGTAATGATATTTGGTTTGCTGTAGATGTGTATACAAGGTATGGCATTTGGTTCTCATTTAAATAATCGTAATATCGCGTTTTTTTTTCTTTTTTTTAGAGAGTAGCTACATACACATATGTACATATATTTCCGATAAATTAGAGATTCACGTAAAAACATATACATACATACGCGTGCGCGCGCGCGCGCGAGGAACCAGAGAGAGAACGCAGTTACCGTTTCTTAGACGATGCCAATTATCGCGATAGCATTTCTTCCGCGAACGAAGTTACCGTTCGCGAAGTTGTAGGATGTTCCGTGGCGGACGCGACTGATTTTATCCGGTCACGGTGGTTGACGGTAGAGATAGTCGTATACCTAACGATATAATACAGACGCGATATTTAAGGCAACGTATGTGTAACTCTATCCAGGGACTATACCTGGAACCTATGTGAGGAAATCGATAGCGTCGTTCGTATACTGTGTTAATCGTATGCGTGCGTGTAAGTGTCGATGTTTTGCGAGATTCGACAGATTGCCATGTTGCATCAAGTATTGTACGCATCCTTCGCGACATCAAGGGGATGGTACTATATAATAGAGGAAATCGATTAAAATAACATATGCAAATTCTACTCGGTATACTACATTCTATCTGATTTATGATTTTTCCCTGCATAGTGATATTTATTTCAAGTGTTAGTTTATTATACATTTTATTATAAATGTTTCGTCTTTCGAGGGAAAGCTCCTCCTTATTTTAATGTAACACATTTACATTGCGAAAGTACCCCGCGTGTTCTAGGACTTGCGATATATTATTAACAGAGAATCTTGATTTCTATATCTTTCATAACGAAGCGCATAAACTTTTAGAATATATTTTGATTAATTAAACCATGAGATATATATATATATATATTTCATTGGAAAGGATATTGATAATAGAGATAATTGGGATATAAGCGATAAGAAAGTGAGCGAGTAGAAATGGTACTTCCAAGTATATATATTATACGGTTTGCTTTTCTTTTATGTTCTCTAAGTATAGTATTTATTCGAATTTTGAGCTTTGTTATCTCCGTTGCTTAATTGAGAAATTGGAAGATTTTTGTTCCCTGCTATTTTGATACACGGCAAAAATCTGAATATTACAAGTGATTGTAAAGTTCACTTTTTTCGTGCTATTTTCTTTCGAATTATTCAGATTTTGTGCTCAAAGGTGACTCATTTTTCAAACTAGATACAGTTATTTACACCGTTTTTATTTAATTCCAATTCCTCAATTACAGTCGTTTCGCGGATAGTATGATTTACCTGTGCATTTATGTCTTTCACTTAGATCAGATTACAAGTTTACTGTGTGTATTTTGTCAGAGATCTTTTTCCGAGTATTATATACGGATGAATATCGCATACTTGCTTGGGACATGTGATCGACATCATGTTCTCTTCCTACATTCGTGTAACGTACATACATACACGTGTATGTATGTTACACACGCATATGTACATAAGTATAGATTTATGCTAACGGGACATAGATATTATATTCACGTTGATATATTATGTGTTGTTGCTGTTGATGTTGTTAATCGTAGGATATAGTCATAAAGATGAAAATGGTAGCGCTAGCATAATCGTTGTTAATATAGCAACTACGGGGGAAGGGGAAGGGGAAAAAGAAAAAAAGAAACACAAAAGCTCTTTGCATTAATTACGACGAACACGTTCCGCGCGTGGATTATAATTAATCGCGCAATTAATTGTCGATTTATTTTCAGATGCGTGCGTCGCAATGTTACCAATTTGTACCTGCGATGTTATCTGTCTTGACCGCTTTGGCGTCGATTAACGTTATTCTAGATTGCTCGGAATGAAGGAATATCCCAATTCGATGATTACTTTTTAGCACGTCGACTCTTTAGAATTCTACGATGTGATGTTTCACGCTAAGGTGGTTGAGTCTAACGACGAGTATCTCCGAAGGTACTATTCGAGCTGCTCGAGGTTTGCCAAATAGATATTTATAGAAGACGTTCGGCATATTGAAGATCTCTGTAACGGACGTGTTTGTCGTTGTAGAGTAAACGTGTGAAGACGCGCGTAGGCGTATTATATTAAACATAAGGTATGTGTAGTTTGAAACGGCCTACAAACGATCGTAGTGATTTGGCTCAGCTATATATTATTCTGTTGTTTCGAAAGTATTGCACTCGTTGCACTTGCGAGGTTCAAATTGGAGCGTCTAAACGTCCGCCGCTGTTACTTCTGTCGAAACTAAGCATAATGTTACTCAGCAGGCTTATCTAAGGATCTTTTGCTATTTATCTCTCTCTTTTTCTATATACACACATATATATATATATATATATCGCGTCCATCCTTCGAGTTCTTCTATAACGAGGACTTCCTTACAACGATTCTTCGTACCTGACCGTATTATTGACCGTATCTTGCGTCCTTCTTTGATCCTCTCGATCCCTTCTTTTTAACTCTCGCGAGCCTCTTTTAAATATTCTTGAAGAAATGGCGGTCGATTAGGCTGCACCGATATTATGTATGTAGATATTAGAAATTTATTGTTGCGCAACCGTGTGTTTCCGAATTGTCTATCAGTTTTAGCAGCGACATTATCGCCAATTCTCAATGAACCGACAATGAAATAGCGTAACTCGATGTATATAAAATGCAACGATGATATTCTTGCGAATCTATTAAGTTTGCGTTATTGATCTGAATTAGACGACTTTTTATTCCGATTAATAAACGATAGAGCATCTTGATTTATTTGATGCGATTTATAAAACGCGGATGTTAAACGCACTTAAGTCTAGGTCGAGCTTAACGATTCTGCATCCGCTTCGTGATCGAAGTCTCGATTATCGAGATTGTAATGTAACTATATCGTAGAGATTTTGCGTTGTAGATGGTTTACTCGCTAGATGTATCTATATGAGTGTGACTATTCGTAATAACGAAAAAAGGAGAAAGATGTGCCAGGAAGAAAGGAAGGAGATAGCATGCGAGGGGGAGAAAACGAGCTCATCGAGATGATTGTAATTGTAATAACGATCGATAAGGCGAATATACAAATTGCCTGACGGTATTGTACATGCAGTAGAGTACGTATATGCAGATGTATACGTTATCTACTTTATGTATCAGGGATGTAATTGCATCCGTGCAAATAATTTTGTCTTCCCTCTTAACTTCCTTGCAGTAATTCGATTTATCGCGGGAATTTCATTATTCTTAGCGTTGCCGTCTCGATGATTGTATTGTCCGATCATCTCATCTACATTGACTACTTATCTTTGCAACGCATCATGCAACGTGACGGATCTGATTTATATATGTCTCGATTATCTATTATTTGTATTCTTTATCGGCGATTAGTTCCGTTTGTCATCGGTCGCGTACTTCTGTTTTGTAAGCGACGAAAGATTATAATAATTTGTTGTGTTCACATTATTTTTCTTTTTCTCCTATGATTTTCCTCTTCCATTTTTCCATTTATGATAATCAAAAGGCAAAAATTTCAGTTATAAATATTAATCAATTCCATATATCTATGAAAAACTTAATTACACTTGATATTATATATATAATTATTAATAAGAAATATTAAAATTTAATGCCTGCAATAACAATCTAATTAAACAATATAATTAATAATGTTTGCGTTAATTGATTCTTGGAACATATATATCTATATAAATTAATCTATATAAATTACTTGCTTTGCTAATTATCTTATTATAGTACAATATTTTTTTATGATAAATTAATTTTTAGTCGCTACGCGTGATGTGTTTTTCAATCAATATTTTCATTCATTTCTGCTAATTTAACGACAAACATTTCGCAATGAAAGTATCTAGACAGCAACAGTAAAAATGTATAATTAATGTGGTAGACGCTATTCACGGTCTATTGCTCTTATACGTAGAAGAGAATTATAGTAAGCGTGGCTTTCTTGAACCACTATATTATGCATAACGCATATTTCGATACATCGGATGTGTGACGGAAGAATTAAATCGAATGATAAAAATGCTGTCGAAACTTAAGATATATACGTAATTTCGGCTCCGCGTCTGTTAATGACATTTTCGACGCGTGATATCAATTGGCCGAAGTATCAGTGCAATGAAGCTCTGTGTAGTATAGTTTAGATTTTGGACAGAAATCTGATTTTTGCAGATTTTTGAGGGAATCGTTGAACTAGGATCTGAGAATTTTCATTCAATAATTTTTGTTTTATAATTTTATATTTATGCACGAATTTTTTATTTTATAAAAAAAATCTTTTTATGGAGAATCTATAATCTATAATTATTTTATAAATTTTAGATTTCTTTCGATCAACGACTAAATCTTACGGAGATCTCGTTTTAGTAATTATTTCTTACATTAAAATCTGCATTCTCTTCGTAAGCCTAGTGTTGCATTGATTTTAAAGTTTTGAGTTTTTCGTTTTTATAGTATTTCGAATTTGCAATGCAAATAATACGTATGCACAGATACAAATCTTACGATTCTTACATTTTACTTTTGTCATATTGTCCTCGTTCGTTTTTCAAATTATTCTTTTCAGCGGAAGTCTATTCTATTATATTGAATGCATATTCGATATTTTCGTTTTGAAAAATGAATGAATTATTAATCGTTACGTTTCTCGAAATAAACACGAACGAAAAAGTGCGAAGATATCAGCAGAAATGAGATATTTGTCCTGTTACTAGCAATAGTTGTCGATTAATCACAATAATCGACGATGTCTGATTACATAATATACATGTATGTATACTTCGCGATATCCCGATCTTAATCGCGACGTAAAAAGAACGTAATTGAAAATAACTAACTAAGACACAAGATATTAATTTCATCCAAAATAATTTCTCCTCTGACTCACTTGTGCCTTGCCTTTGATCATCCTTCGCTGTTCTGTATATCCAGGTATAATCCCTCTTTTCTAAATAATCGTCTTCGATGTTCGATGTCCTTTCTACGAATAAGACAAGTATCAAGTAGGTCGATATATTAAGAAAGCGTTACTTATTCCGTTTGCCATAATGGTACTAGCTCGTAATCGATAAATGTACACCGAATAATCTTACGATTTTAACTTTTAAGACCTCAAAATTGCAAGGCATTCGGATTACGGACGCTGGCAAACCCTGCTCTTGAAAATATATTGACAACATTTAAACGATGTAAGATAAATGCATTTTGAACTTTACAATATCTCGATGTATATTTATAATTCTCGTTCTGTAACTCAGAAACAAAACGAATGAATTTGTCTAATTTTGATAAGATCTTTTTTTGTAAAATTTAATTTCAATAATCGAATTAACGAGAGATTTCGGAGCAGATTGACACTCATCGAATCCGATGCTTTACACAATTTATTATAAAAACGATGCTCGATTAAAGTAACGTTTATTACAGTCTATTTGCTAATTAATATATGAGGAATCATAAGAAAGATACGGAAAGATGTTGTGGTAGATGATGTTCGTTATACAGGAAATAGGCAGGTATTTTGTTTTGAGATGATTAAAATAATATTTCAATATTGATATATCATACAATAAATATATTTTAATTGAAACTTATCTGTGCCAGGCTAGCTCTACATATAAAGAAATTATTTTTTGAACTTGATTTTTTATGCAGCGATTTTATGAATTATGCGAATGTGTCACAAAGAGGTCACGCGTGGAATATAATCTGCACATTATACGAATGAGTATAAAGGAATTTCGAATAGAGAATATTTCATGATATAATGGTAGTTTGGACTTCTTCCATCTCGATAGATTTCGCTCTCGTTTGGAAGAAACGCGTCTACTTTTGCTCTTGGATCAAACGCGCAATTTGGATCGATTTTCGGTTCTTTCTTTTTGAAGTAAGCAATTATAGAGGAAAATTAATTAATTATCGCGATTAATGATTGCAATTTATATAATGGAACATAGTGAAAAATCGTTTTGCTTGTATGTTTGTATTTTTTTTTGTCCTTTTGCGGTCACGAAGCTAGTCGTACTTTCCCAAAAGCGAACATCGGATATCAAATACAATCGATGAGAAGCAATTTCAAGATTATTTATAAACCTGGATGTATTTTTTAGAGAACAGAATTAAAGACACATACACACACACACATTGTTACTTGCTATACAAATATCGGTACCATTAATGCCCACTTATATCCGTATGATAAATGATCCATAAGTTATAATAACGATATTCTATAAATGGCTGTACTATTGTAAAATCAAAGACATATATATATATATATATATATATACATATATAGCGTACAATAAAGTTTAGTGTTGTAGGAGAAGAAGTTGGTGTCAAAGTTGATGAGATATTTCTTTCCTCCTTTTATGTTTGAAACAGGGAGTGTTTATCGAAAAAGCAACATATTATTTAGAAGATATTAGTAATAAATATAATTTCGCATGTTTTTTAAAATAAGATAATATTTTATTTATTCGTTTCACAAAATCAATTAAAAACTAATGGACGATAAACAATATAATATTAAAATGATAGTTAGTGCACAATTATAAAATTATAATTAACATCTCTCTCAATTATAATTAATTATAATTATATTATCATTAAAATATAGTTAATTAGCTATATAATCTATATAATAACTAAATAAAAAACATGTTGATTAATCTTGTGAATTTTGTTATCGTAAATATTTAATATTTATCTAAAAATATTATTTTAAAAATATTTATCTAAAATATTATTTTATAATATTTTACTCTTCAAGCAGTCGATTACGGTTTTTGCACGTGTGCTACTAATAGGTAATATGGCAGTGTAACATATTCCTTTTGGTCCTCTTTGGATTTTTTAAGTGGAACGTTCTGATTCAAAGAAATTATTTCCTTTATAAATTCTTCCAAAAATTCTTTTTTTAAATTTTCATCGGGAAACCTCTTCATAAAAGGATTTACGGCGCATGCGGAATCTACAAATATAGCATGAACAAATTTAAGGAAACTAGACAAAGAAATGACCGTTGGAATCGAGCGAATGCATAATAATTAATTAATGATTGTCTAATTTATCCTTATGTAATCTTCGCGAAAAATAGCAAATTTTCTCATTTAAGGCTACTTGTGTAATATCTTACCTGTGAGACTCGTTTTAGTAAAGTGAAAGCTCTTTTTCCTGTTGCTGCAATGTAGAATTTTGAAACCAGTATTTTCCAACATTTTTTGTGCATTCGCTTCTATATCTTTGTAACGCTTTCTTTGAAAGTAAGGCAAATAACGACGTACATCCTTGAATACAAAATTAAAAATTAATTTGAGCGGTTTTTATATGCGCTCATTACATGTGTATTATATCATTTTAATCATGTTACCTGGAGATAAGGCTGAAATCGCGGATCTTCTTTTAATCGTAAGTACGCTTCAAATCCGATGTGATGCGACAAGAACATGATTAGCGCTGTTCCTTGTGGTCGTAAAAGCTTGTAAATATTTTCGAAGGCGTACCTAAATTTAAAATTTAATTAAAGAATTCGCGAGGGAATTAATATTTTTTAAATCTCTATTAAATATTAATATCGCTAACAACGATAACGCCATTATTTTTATATGTGATTTTTTCCATAATAAAAGACTTATCAATCTGCGATTTGCAAAAAAATTGTCATTCAGTAAAAAATATTGAAAAAATACCTTATGTCTTTACACCAATGCAAGCAGTAAAAGCTTACTGTGTTATCATAGTGTTCAATTTCATCACTTGGTAGGTCCGATTCAATATCCATAATAACGTAGGATAAACGCTTGTCTGCGTAATTTTGACGAGCATAATTGATCATTTCTTGTGATATGTCCGCACCTAATAAAACTTTTTATTGTAAAACGCCGCGCATTGCATCAATTTTTCATTCACACTTACCTATCATCTCTGTCTCTTCTGACAAAAAAGGCAATAATATGTCTTTTGTGATTTGCCCTGGACCGCATCCGATGTCAATACATTTTCCCCGCATGTTTGACAGTTCACAACTGAATTCGACTATAATTTCGATGGTGTCTCGACGTTGCATATTGCTGTTAGCAAGGTAAGATTCAGGCGACTCCATGATGCACCGCTGATATAATATGATGTCATCAAACATACATATAATCGTGCATTTTTATTATTCGAGTTTTATGATTATATTAATGATTACGCGCGCGCGGTATGGAACACATTGATACTTATAATTTTAGAAACGATTAATCGATTAAAATAAAAATAATATAGACGCGTACATGATTTTAATGAATTAAGAGATTAATAGATTATTTGAAACATAGCAGCTCTGTAATCACTTGTTGAAATAAATTGACAAAAGAAAAAGTGATTTATGAGAAAAAAAATAATATTATTTATGAGAAAAAAAATAATATACGTGATTCTTTTCCGGCTAATATGATTCGCGATTTTTATTTCAATGTCTTCACGTTTACAAGATAGAGAATAATGCAAAATCGATCGAAGAATAATGCAAATGCGTTCACTCTTACAATAGAAACAGCCGTTAGAATGTCCTTTTCAGAGGTATCAAGGTGACAATACGCAGCTCACAATACTGGTTCCACTTCTTTACTGTTGACTTTTTAAGGTTCTCTTTGGTATTTATATCCGACGACTCGTATAAACAACGCTTGCTCTTCTTCCGTTCTCCTATTTTATTTTCATCTCCCTACCAACTTATCATATTCTTTGTCGCCTATTCTAACTGCTTATTCTAACATTTGAATTTTTTTCTTAGACTCTATCCCACTACTAGTACATCTAATTATTATAGTCGGAAGTTCAAAGACTTGTGTGCATCCGGTCATTTAGTTGCCCTTATTTATCACACTACGATATATTAATTGAAGAGTTGCATCGAAAATATCTATTGAGTTATATAAAAGCCGCCTTGATAACAAGACTGTTTACTAAGATTAGAGAAATGTGTTATACATATGGCAGCACTTAGACAGAACTTAGAGTCATGTATTTTAAGGGATATGGCTTTTGAAATAGAAAAGAAGATCTGCTAGCTATTTTATCATATTTATAGCAACTTCAATGCTATTTTTGATTCCATAAAAATTCAACTTTTTCCAACAATTTATTAATTATTAATTATCACGTATCACTTCTGCATCCAAGCTCTAATTGGAAGCTCTAATCTTTGCGCTTTTATTGCAATTAATATTATTTTTAAGATTCCTGAGTATTCGCTACAAAACTCTGAATTGACGATAGCGACATAAAAATAAAAAAAAATAGTCAAATTGGTCAATCAGTGAAACGAAATATTGTTAAACATTAAGCGTGAAATGCACACAAAGAAAAAGCATATATGTATAAGATTAAAATTTATTTATTAATTTATTAGACTAGTTTAGACAAATAAGACAGCCACACACAAATAGATTGTTTAATATTCTTTCTCTTTTGAGATATTTACCTGAAGCGATTGAAATAAAATACATATGTATATGTATATATATGTATATATATATATATATATATATGTATATATATACATACATATACATATGTATTTTATTTCAATCGCTTCAGGTAAATATCTCCCTGTATATATATATATATATATGGTAAATATCTCCCTGTATATATATATATATATATATATATATATATATATATACAGGGTGTTCTTAAATTTGCGATAAATATTTTAATAACAAATTCTTTGTAACATTTTTCTAACATTCTTTGTAACAAGGACGAAAATTCTAATACGAAAATGTCGAGACTATAATAGTTTTCAAATGGGGAAAGTTTTTAAAGATCACGAATGACTTAACATGTCAGCTGTGTCTCATATGTCGACCAACTTTAGTGGAGGCAACTAAATATAACACAACTGATCAATATCGATATATTAAATTATTAAATAAAAACGTTTTAAATTATTATTATAATTCATTATGGATAAATAAAAATAGATTTTTAATGAAATTCTTTTAGTGAATTTCTTTTTAAAGCAAATTATTTATATTAGAATTTATTTTATTGAAAAAAATTATTTTGTTTTAAAAAGTACATATTTAAATTAAAACCATCTAATACAATTCAACGTACATTAATTGATTTATTTGACACTCATTTTTAATCTTTCTTTAACGTAAAAACAACGTATAAATTAAAATTATAATATAAATATAAAAAAAGATAATCAAAATATTTTAGGCACAACTTCAATATTTATCATATCATTTTCAATTATCATTTAACTTATGAAGAATTTATGAGCAAAATTTGCATGAAATGTGCATTATTCTAATCACTGACTTTACAACATAAGTCTAAAATTTTACAGTCTGAATATCTCACATTAATTTTTATATACTTATATATTTATATGTTTATCAATTTAAAAAAATAGTCAATAAATATGAAATAAACAGATAGAGCTTTAAATTGAACGCCCTGTATATGTACATATACGCGTATCGATTTAATATTAATTTTTTTATGTCAAGTGATAATTTTTACTGCATAGCTGATTTTATTTTGTCGTTTCTTATACACATGTTTATTATCTGCATTGTACATTATAATGATTAATTAATATTAACAAATTATAAATAATATATACAGAAAACATTAATTCTTTGTTTAAATAAAAATTTAAATAATTATTTAATTATTACACAGAATTATAAAATCTGTTTTCACTTATTTGAAAAATAAGATACATTTTTTTAAATCAAAGAAGTATTTGTAGAAATTAATCTATTATAAAATCTATTATAAAATAAAATAAAGTCAGCTGTGCATTAAAAGTCAATATCACTTGACATGAAAAAATCAATAACATATAATCATATATCAGAAATTTCCATGCTGCAAAATAACAAATTATAAGTCATCAAAAGTGACGTTTTGACAGCCTAAATGATACGCTGAGAATTCTTGCATGCCATTTTATTATTATTCACTTTATATTAGTGCTGTGACGTATAACATGTTTATGAAACCCGTAAAATATCCCGAAAACTAAATTTAGCAAGAAATATATTGTGTAAAAGAGCATTTTCCACTCTTTTAAACAATTGTCAAATCATGTGTTTCCTCGCTTACTTTGATACTCATTTTAAGGCTATTTATTAACTGTCAAGGAAAAAACTTAGTTTTCGGAATATTTTACAAGTGTGTTAAAGTAATCTGTAGTGTTATTTTTTCAAAATATTTTTTTATTTATAAATGACACGCAAGAATTCTCAATGTGTTATTTTTCGCTTCCGACGTCACGATTTCAATATGGCTGCAGTGACTATTCAGGAGCCTTAAAATACTTTTGTTTTTGTCCATTTTCCATCTAAAATAATTTCTTATTGCCATACTGAAAAAAAGGGATTCTTCATACTTTTGTTTTTGTCCATTTTTGCTTAAAATAATTATTAATGCATTAAAATATTTAAAAAAATTTTCCGTATAAATAATCTTTCTCTTTCTTTTATCTTCCGTTCATTTGATATTTTTCATCATCGTTTGTGCTAATTAACGTTTGTGCTTTTAACAAAATCAAAAGTGTGGCGCAAGTTTATATTCAATACGAAGTACTAGGAAAATGCGTAAAAGAAATTTTATCGTAACATTATTCGAACAAAAGGGCTCCTCGTTAATAATCCGTAATTCGATCGAATGTGAGACCCCAGGATCCTTGCCAGAACGTTTTGAAGAGCCCTTGAATTAGTCTTATCTTACGGTCGCATGTATTTGCCTTTTGGACAGCACCGTATTTGCATATGCGCGGGCACACTCCATACACGCTCGTTAATAATATACAAGGTGTTTTCCTGATCAAACACTCGTATTTCTCGGCGGGGGATCCTTCGTTTTTTATCTTGTTGAATGGCCCTTAAATCTTGCCTGAAATGCGCTTACTCGCATTCCAACGGCTTTTATTCGATCGCATACCAGAATCCTTCGACATGCTTATATCTACCTCATCGCATAGAAATCTCGATTTAATTCTGATTCGATTAGTCGATGATCATCTGCGCGATTTATCTTTAAAAGATTATATATAACGATGATTTCTCTGTCGATTAAATTTTTTCTCTGTCGATGTCATTTTTTCCTATACATGTCTTATAAATGCGCGATTTTTTATGGCATGTGCTTGACGAATTTTCTCGAGCGATTGACGGCAATAAAACGTTCGAGTCTCGTTACATTGTAAATTCCGCTACCTTCAGCTACCGTAAATCAGTTTGGCGACGCGCCTGTATAGAAAATATTTATGAAACTCGGCGGGTTGACCCGCTCCCTCCTCCGACGTCGTTGTCTCTCTTTTCTCTCGCACCGTTTATCTCCATTTTCTCTGCGCTCTGCGCGAGGTAATGCAATATGCACTCGCGTCTCTTTCAAAGGAGATAACAAAAGGTCGTAACGCTCGCGCTCACGCACCACCACCATCATCCGGAGTTTATAGAAGCTCGGAAGCGTCGCGTAAGAAGGCAGAGAGGGAGATGTAAAGATGCATCGCCGAGGCCAGCCGGAAATGGCAGTCCGTTGCCATTTTCATCACCCTCGATCAGATTATTTTCCACCCACACATCGAAATCCTTGTTGTAAATTTTTAACGACCCAGTGGACGGTCCTCGTCTTTTTATATAACAGAGCGAAATGACGCGTCGCGTTTTTCTTACCGCGAGTCTTGTCTTTAAATCGTTATATAAAATATTGAATAGAACTGTTATGAAAAAAATGGGATAGAGAATACGCGACGAGACGAAATTAATGCCGCGATTTTATTACACATCCGCGAAAAACTTTACGAGACGTCGAGCGTTTCGTTATATTTCGTCGAAATCTTTATCTCGCGAGATTTTACGGTGATGGCATACATAAGAGTTCTCCGGAAATAGGAAGATGCTACGGATTTATTGGGCAGGTGTGAGTCTCGTGCGCGTTGTAGGTAGTCGTGGAGCTGGTGGAGGATTTACGTAGCTCCGGTCTCCTCCGCGCTCGCGCTAAAACCACAAGCATCCTCGATACTCGATCGAGCTTTTGCGAAAGGGAACACTGCGAGGACAGGGTGGAAGTGACGGCTCTTCTCCGGGGGAAGGAGGGGGGGATTGCGTGCGAGGACGCGGCCGAGGAAAAATTGCCCGGGTTAGCGATGAAAACAGCAGTCTGCGAGCCATTGAATTTTTCCGGGATTAATACCTCGGCCTTAATTACCATGTTCGCGGCTTACGTCGTACTTTCCAATACGTCCATCTGTATTTTTACCTGTATTCGTCACAGCCGAAAGATTTAGCACATCGAGCGCGAAAGAAAGATGAATGATGATGAAAACCATCTCGCGGGTATTGAAAGTTACCGCGGCTTCTTCACGAGTTTGTACAATTATAGGCACTAGTAATAATGGACAGAAGGACGAAAGGACCGGGGATCCTTCGACATCTCGATCCGATACTGCCGGATGTGGTCCGAGGAAGGGCATACTCCTCCTTCTTGCCCTCCGTCAGCCCTTTCTTTTTCCACCTCTCTAGCCTTCTAGTCCCTTTGCCTAAATCCTTTGGCCGGATCCGCGTGTATCGAGTGGGTGGGGTGCGACCGAGAACGAAGGGCTTTGATAAATGACTGACGCGGAAAAAAATCCGCGTCGATACGTCTTGCTCAAGGAGATGCG